TCAAGCCTTGGATGATTGATTCCATGGATAAAGAATCCGTGGATATGAAGGGCTGACTGTATAGATCAGGGGTAGGCAACCTAAGGCCTGGGGGCCGGATGTGCCCCCTGAGGCCTTTGGACCGGACCCAGGACGGTCCTGCCGCCACTGCCCCCCGCCGCCACTGCTGCCCGCCATGATGATATTGATTATTGTTATTACTTGTTCTTGGGGTTTTCTTGGCAAAATCTCCACAGGGGTTTTGCCATGGCTTTTCTGGGGCTGAGAGAGTGTGCGTGCATATTATTTATTTATTTATTTATTTATTTATTTTGATGCTTTGGCCCCCCCAATTGTCTGAGGGACAGCAATCTGGCCCCTGGCTCAAAAAGGTTGCCTACCCCTGGTATAGATGATGGGGTTCGTTGTCGAAAAGATCTGGAGGACAAAAACGACTTATTATGTCAGAGTAACTGTGCAGTCCTAACTCAAAGGACGTGTTAGTGGCTGGGCACAAATTTCTTTTGCAGACAGAAATGTCCTTTTGTCAATGGAACCTCCTTCTGCCTTCTGCTCTCTGAGGTCTGCCAAGAAAGCAATCTGAGCAGAATAGCCAGAGATGAAGCAGCAGTTGAGTTATACCATGTTGAAGCATCCTTCAGTGCAAACACATAGCTTCAGTGCTGATACAAAGGGAGAGGGTAGGTCTATGTGAATTCCAGAGGTTTGGACTCAGTACAGCTTTAGTCAGCCTAGTGTCAGCCTTTTGGTGATCTTGATGACCATCTTTAAACAGGACAATAATATGGCAGGACAAAACATCTTCAAGTACAGTTCCTCTTCATTTGAAGATGCAGTGATAGGGAGAGAAGCTTGGGAAAGTGTGCACAATGTTCACCAACATTTTGGAAAGCAGAAAGTAGTTTGAGTGCTCCCTATAGTGCTTGCATTTTTTCTCTAAGATCAGCATGGCTTCTGGAAGAGAAAATAAGATGCATTTTGGTCCTCTGATCTAATTTTGTCTTCTGATCAAATGTAAGACAACCAAAATTTCAATCTAGTTCTTCAGAAGAACTCGTGATAAAAACAGCTTTCTGGTAAGCTGGGGTGGAGGGGAAGGTCACAGTAATCTTTCTGGGACTGTGGTGATTTGAAAGCCAATGCATTCACTTGAAGAGGCTGAAGCTCTCTGTCTGCTGTCATGGGATGTGATGAATCAGTGGAAATTGTGTTTTCCTTTATCTGAATTCTCAAGTAATTTAATGGATTCATCCATGCAGTGGGCTCTTCCCTCGACTTTAAGCATGCTGTACAAAGTGTACCTGAGAATGCATGAAGACAATAGAGAATTTGAGACAACAGAGGAATGGAGGGCATAAGAGAAGAACAGAGAATTCAGTTAAGGGATGCATGGAGACAATGGAGAATTGAAGACAAGAGAGGACCAGAGAATTATGGAAAGCAATGGAAAATTCTTAATGCACCATGAATGCATGAAGAAATATTGGAGCACGTGGGAGAATAACTATTGCATACTAAATGGAGAATTGTAGACAACATGGGATTGGAAAACATTGAATAATGAAAGAGAATGCTTAATGGATGGGTTCCTTTTAGTTGAATAAAACTAGGTAATGGTATTAACATTTCTAGTACAGCTCACACAGAAAACTGTGCATGTTGTGAATCAACAGATATTGACAAGGGTTAAGGAACAAAGTGCAAAAGCAGGGCTATAGCTGAATATTAAGAAGACAAAAATAATGACCTGAGATGGTATACATAAATTTAAAGTGGGTAATGAAGCCATTGAAATAGTTAAAGATTTCCTGTACCTTGGCTCAGTCATTAACTAAATTAGAGACTGTAGTCAAGAAATTAGAAAAAGACTTAGGAGCTTATCGCACGCCCTAAAGAGGTGTTTTACCTCTTCTGGCTTCAATCCTTGATCGGGGATAAAGCTGAATGTTAACAGACATAATTCACCACCAATTTTGCCATGATGCCACCGGCCGAATGCAACCTGGGTCCAAGGACTGCTCAGCCAGCCAATTTCTCAAATTGGAAAACTTCTGTTTCCGAAAAAGTGCTGGATGAGCGTGGCTTCAAGCAGGGCTGCATTCGGCTGGCGGCATCGCGGCAGAATCGGTGGCAAATTATGTCTGATAACATCCGGCTGTATCCTCGAACAAGGATTGAAGCTGGAAGAGGTAAAATGCCTCTTTAGGGCATGGGATAAGCTCCTTAGACTTGGAAAAGCAGCTCTGAAAGAACTAGGTAAGCTCCTCAAGGGTAAAGACATATCATTAAATACCAAAGTCAGACACATCCAGGGCATTGCATTTCCTATTTCTATGTAGGGGTATGAAAGTGGAATAGTGAATACAATTGGAAGGAAGAATATGATTTTATTTGAAATGTGCTGGAGGAGACTTCTAGGGATACTACTAAAAAGACAAATGAATGAGTTTTGAAGCAAATGAAGCCTGAAGTGAATATGACTAAACTGAGGCTGTTGTACTTTGGATATATCATGAGACAATGTGAGTCACTGGAAAAGACAATAATAAGTAAAGTGGAAGGCAGTAGGAAAAGAGGAAGACTACTACAGGTGGGTCAATTCAATAAAGGAAGCGGCAACTCTGAGTTTGCAAATCTGAGCAGGGCAATGGGTGTTTTGGAGGTCTCTCATTCATAGGGTTTCTATAAGTCAAAGTTGACTTGACAGTAAATATCAATGACAAAATTTGAAATGCTACAATCTGAAGAGAAACCAAGCTGAAGAAATAGACGGAAGCACACCCTGAAGGCTAAATGAGCTCTCTGTGGAAGGCCTTTCCCTGAATTGGAAATATGAAACTGGATTCTGGTGGTGAATTCTGCACATCACCCACTGACATACAGGAGAAAGCATTCGCCTACCATCACTCCTGCTGGTGACAAACCTGATTCATCGCTCTCAATGTCTTCCTCTCCCCCTCCTTTTCCTTTTTTTTTTTTTGTTAGATGAGGAAGGAAATTGCATTTCTACAAAATAAATGTCCGCTACGCAGGCTGGTAATCCGCATTAGTGTAAATCCCAATTAAAAGGCTCTCAGAAGCTATGACTAATCCTATCCAGGCTCCGCCGAGTGATGAGCTACTGTTAGCTGTCACTGTGCTTTGAGGAAGTTGGACAGGTTTATTCCCACCACACTGACGGATAAATAAAGGACGGGAGATCAAATGGATTTCCCAGAGTTGTCAATGGCAAGACAGGGATTAGAAGTTCTCCCACTTCTGTGCCAGGCTTTGGCCTTGGGAACGGGCCGAGGTTTTGAACGCAGGTGGGCGCTCTCTTCCCAGTCCCACCCACGGTTGCAGAGGCACCATGTAATCGGGGAAAATTGAAACACATGTCTAGACTCTCTCTCTCTCTCTCCTTCTCCCTTTCTTTCTTTCTCTTTTTCTCTCTATCACAGAGAAACCAACTCTCAAAGTTATTTGCATCAGTGCACCCAGGGAGGGACTTTTCTTTTTTTCTTCTTGTCAGCAAAAACTTGCTCCTTCCACCGACACCATGGAGCCAGGAGGCGGTAAGTTTACACATAATTAACAACGAAAACACTGTTCCACTTATCCATCCTGATGAATCTCTCTTGGCAGGGGTACAGATCCTGTCTCAGAAGCAACAGCTGAAGGGGGAAAATGCACTTACGAGCCATACTACAGCAGCATCCCAAATCCACAAAACAGCGATGCCTTTCTTGGCCAACCAAAATGCATTAAATACAGGTTGCAAGCTTTCAGAGAGCCACTGGCTTCTTCCTCAATCAAAGATGTTAGAAAGCCTACAGGAGAAAAAAGAATGATGATGATGTTAATAATAATAACAATAATAATAATTTTTATTTATATTTCCCGCCTCTCCCTACGGATCGAGGCGGGATTACACAATTAAATGAATACAATATGCAAAATACAAACAATAAAATAGTGAAATCAAACAACAGTAATAAATTATAAGAGCATATAATATAATATAATATAATATAATATAATATAATATAATATAATATAATATAATAAAAATAAAATAAAATAAAATGTTAGTCGTGAGCCTGCATTTTGAAGATGTATTAATAATAATAATAAGTTTTATTTATAACTCGCCCCTCTGCTCAGCAATCAGGGCAGCATACAACAAATTAAAAATAC